TATGTTTTATTATGTATATTGTACATATTATGTATTTATTATGTATTATATATGTATAATATTATTTTGAAGAAAATGGTTATCTGAAAGGTAATTAAGAAAAATGAAAATAAAAGGTTTTATTTTACCTTCATTTATTTCTTCTCTAATGCTCCTCATTTCTAACCTATTTTGTTTTCCTTCTCTCTGATAACTTAAACGTTTTCTTTCTTTAGAAAAGAAATTGCATTTCTTGCATAGTAGGGCTACCTGTGACATTTCTTCATTTGTTATCAAAATATTTGTTTGTCTGCAAGTCTTTGTTTCTCCTTTACTTTTGAAGGATAATTTCTCTGGATACAGAATGGTAGGTTGGTGATTTTTTTCTTTTAACACTTTCTTACTCCATTCTCACTTGCATGGTTTCTGCAGAGAAGTCCAATGTAATTCTTATCCTTGTCCCTCTATCTGGAAGGTGGGTTTTTTGCCCTTTGCCTTTTTTCAATATTTTTTTCTTCGTATGGTTTTCTGCAGTTTGAATATGACATGCTTGGGTGTAAATTTTTGATGTTCTCTGAGCTTTCTGAATCTGGTTTCATGTCTGTCATTAATTTAGGAAAAAGCTTCTAATATTCTGTTCCTTTTTTATGTCTTCTCCTTCTGATATTCCCAGTATGCCTAAGTTATACCTAGTGTGATTATCTAACAGTTCTTGCATATCTATTCCATATCTTGCATATGCTAGTCCATCTTTTTCATTCTCTTTTCTTTTTGAATTTCAGCTTTGGAAGTTTCTCCTGACATATCTTCAAGCTCTCTGATTTTTTCTTCAGCCGTGTCGTTTCCTTCTGAATCCATCAAAGCCATTCTTTATTTCTCTTATAGTGTTTTTTATTTGTAGTATTTCCTTGGGTTCTTTTTTAGTTTTCATCTCTCTGCTTACATTACCCATGTGTTCTTGCAAGTTGCCCACTTTTTTACATTAGCACCTTTAGCATATTAATCATAGTTGAATCCCTGGTCTGATAATTCCAAAATTTCTGCGTATCGGAGTCTGTTTCTGATGTCTGACTTGCCTCTTCAGATTTGAGTTTTTGGGGGTTTGTGGTGGTGGTTGTTGTTTGCCTTTTAGCATGAGTTGTAATTTTTTGTTGGACACTAGACATGATATATCAAGTGGAAAAAACTAAAGTACCTAGGCCTTTAGTGTGAGCTTTTATGTTTTCTGCCAAGGAATTAGGCTATTCCCTGTTGACTATAGCTGTGGTGTCAGAGCTAAAATTTTCTTTAGTGTCCTTTTTCTTCTCTCCCTTGTTTTCTTTGAGTGTCCCTAGAGACTCTTAAATGGGGTCTCAGGCTTGCAGTTATTTTGGCTGTGATCTCCTGTTATTACACAGGAGCCTAATGATGTGGTGGTAAATTGTGGGGAGGGGAAATGTTCCATAGTCTTCTGATTAGGTCTCAGTCTTTTAGTGAGCCTTATTTCTCTTCCCTCAAATCGGTCAGGCTTTGTGATCCCCCAGGCTGGTAAAATAGTTTCACTGAGGACACGCCTTATTAAGAAGAACAGAGGCTCTGGGAATATTCCCAAATGGCTACTTTCCCCCCCCCTCTGCGGGAAGTAAGAGTGAGGTTCACAGTGAGAACCTGGTAGGCCTCCTACTAGTAAAACTCAGGATAGCATGGGAGCCCCTCTGTGATGGGGCCCCTCAGAGTTCTTAACTCTCAACGGGCCCACACTGAGCCACCAGCAATTTGTCAATTATAGTTGAAGGTATTCCTCTGAGATTGTCTTCAGTGCACTTCTCTTCCTGAGCTTCTGCTCCCAGGAAGTTGTGATCCTCACTCTCTGCCTATCTCTCCCATTTTCAGAGCAGAAGTTTGCCCTGTGACCTCGGTTTTCTGATGGATTTAAGAAGAGTTGATTTGAAATCTGTTCAGCTTTTACCTGTTGTGATGATGGGAGTGATGACTTCCAAACTCTTTACATATTGAACTGGAAACTAGAGTCCAGATGAGTAAACAAATTCAGGTAGATTAAATACCTCAACCAAGCTAAAAACACTAGTAAGTGGTAGTCCAGGGATTCCCACCTGGTTCTGGGTAGACTAGACCTTGGAGTAGGGCCCAGCACATGTTTGACAAATGAATCAATGGCCCCAAGGCCAGGCCAGAGCCCTTTCCACTATATCATACTACCATTGTCAAAAGTACAGTGATTAGATGACGTCTAGGGTTCAGAGAATAAAAAAAATAAAATAACCAAACGAAAACTTCCCTCAATAAAAAAAATAAAAGAATGGAACATTCTTAAGGATATTAGTGAAGGAAACAAAAAATTACTTACATAACAAGGGAAAGAATTACTATAAAGTAAGCCTAATCAGCACTAGAATACTTTGGTCAAATGTGGACAACTAACTGAGATGTTAGAGGGAAAGAAAGCTCAGACTACCCCATTTCCATTTTTATCAGTTTAGTAAACTGCTTCTAGACAGGTGTTCAGAATATGAAAGTGGTTTACAAGACAGATGCAAAGGGGATTTGGAAAGTGAGGCCTTTGGAGGAAGAGCACTCTGTGTCTAGAGAAGAAGAAGCTGGGGGTCCGTTGAATAGGCCTCCAAGCATATGAAGAGCAGGCCCACCTCTACCATTTACAGAGCACAAGGCCAGAACAATGGAAGCCACGCATCATATGACAGATTGAAAAGTTACAGATCAGGTTAACTGTTAAATAAATATGTTCTGTCATTTACCATAATAAAAATACTTTTATAACAACATCAAGAACTACATGTAAAATTAAGACTGAAAGTTGGCAAGATATCAAAGACAACAGAATTTACTAATTGTTCCCATGACTAGGTTACCTGTTGGTGGGTCTATAATGTTTGGTTGAGTAATAAAATAAAGACACACATAAATTATGCATAATATGTATTCCATATAATTTATTTTCTTGCATTTATTTCAGCAGAATCATTGATTATATTTTTATTTTTTAAGTTTTTATTTAATTATATTTTTAGAATCAAGATTTTGATTTATTACATTATCAATAATGATATAAGCTGGATTTTAAAAGAAAATATAAATCTAAAGCATATACAGTTTGAATACATTTTTAGCAAGTGTAAATTACTGTAAAAAACAAATTTAAACTTATTTACATGTCTTAAAAATGAGTTATTTTATTCAGAATTATCTATTATGTCAAAATGAGGAATAAATATAATTAATAAATATCAAAAGTTTAAACTAAGATCATTTAGATAAAAATTAACCTTTTCATTTACTTTTTTGAAATTTAAATTGTGTGTATTTATAAAACTAAAACTATTCACAGTTCTAGGTATCTGAGTTCATCAAGTGCCTACATAAAAAATCACTACCATGCTTCACGCATATGCCTAAACTTCATACATTCAAATTTAAGAGTAATTTGAATTATTTACTATTGCAAAATATTCCTGCTATGTCAAGGACAACTCTCGTAAATACGGTATCAATTCCTGAGTACCTCTAGAATCACAATTTGGACTAAAAAGAAAGCAAAAGTATGGATGTTCGGAGCCACAGAAAAATAATCCTTCATCATATGAAGTTCTATTGCATTTATGCTATCCAAGAGGAAGGATTTTATTCAAATTAATTAAATTAGTTTTTTTATCTAAGCATCTTTGTCACTTAAATTCTTTTCATCCTTGAAAGCAGTGTCTGTTACAGCATAACTGTCCTTCATGTCACTTGGGCTTAGTCACTTTTATTTCACTAACACAGAGCAACAGATGTGAGCTTCTCCCTGGGGCCTGAATAGCGTCAGTCATAAAAGCAGGTATTTAGGGTTAAGAGCGCTGCTGGGCCAGAGTAGAGAGCCGATGGCAGAGACACTTGTGTGTTCTTCAATACATTTATGTTTTGCGTGTTTGTAATGTACAAACTCTCTAAAAGAGGTGGGCTCAGGGTGGAGGTCCTGCTTTCCAAGGTTTTCTTAAAGGGAAAAAAACAAAAACTGTCCCAAATCATCTCCATTATGGATAGGCCTCCCATAGGAGGAGACACATATGCTTTTATCTAGTCTGACCATTTATTTACAGTATTCACTGTTGATTTAGTACTTTACTTCTTTAATTTATTTGCCTTTTTACCATGCATGAAGAGCATTCATTTCTGTCCTCAATCAAATGTGGCTTCTCTGGCTACTGAGTAAAAGAATGCTTTTGCCCTCTAAACTTCTGTAGCATTTCTTTAAAACAACACTGTAGTACTTAGCACAGTATATCACCTTTCTCATTTCATTCATTCAGTCAACAAATCTTTATTTTTTACAAAACAAAGTACCTACTCCTATGAAGCTTATATGTTCATGTGGGACACAAAATAAATAGACATGTAATATCAAGGAGTGGTAATTAAGAAGATAGAGGCCAGTTGAGGTGATAGAAAGTTTCAGGAGTGCTATTTTGTATATACAGGTAGTCTAGGAGGGCCTCTTTGAACAGAGATGTCATAAAAGGAGGGAATGAGCCATGAAAATAACTGGAGATAGGGCTGTCTAGGTGGAAGCATCTATAAGTATAAAGACTGAGAGGAAATGTGTCCAGTAAACAGAAGTGTTACTGAAGAACGGTAAATGAGGGGAAATGCAGAGGCAAATAAGCCACATCAGAGAAGGACCCAAAAGCACAACTATGCGGGGACCTTATAGGTCAAGGTAAAAAATACAGATTTGTGAGTTCCTTGAAGACAGGTAAGTGCGTCTGGTCTTTGCATTCTCAGAGGTTTTTAATAGTACCACCCATAGCTATGGTAAGCCATGTGTCTAAGGAAGCTTCGGTATGTCTGGCTTTCAACTGATAAAAATTAACTGCCAATTTTGTCTTATTTGAGGATATGATGGGAAATTTGAAGTGCGGTTAAATATCTGTCTATAAATTTAATATGATATAAGTTATAAAATAATAATAACAATACAAAGTCAATAAGATCTCTGTGGTAATCTTTGATCTTTTTCTTCCCAGGATTTCCAAACTGTATTACCATCATTTGATCTCTTCTCAAAGTATGGAAAATTATATTCAAAAGCTGGACAAATTATCTAAAGGTATGCATTTTTGCTAAGAAGTACTTCAAAAAGTATATTAAAAACATTTTAAAAAATCAAATGAGATTGACTTTAACTCTCAAGCATTTTTAAAACCATGATATAATATTTATATATAATAAAACTCCATTTTTCATTCTAATTTAATGGTTTTTAACATTCAAAAATCATGGATTTTATTTTTCAAAGCTCTTCTCCAAAACAGACTCAAAATACATTAAGAAATAGGATTGACAAAAATCTGAAGTAGTCTTTTTTTAAGTTAATTAATACAATAAAAGTTTTACATAATGCAATGAAAAAATATTGGTAGTGTCCAAAAGCTAAAATAGTTTAAAATACTGTTTTCAGTATGTGTGTTATTTGAAGTATGAGTTGTCTTTAGGGGATTCCAAATAAAGAGTGTCGAGGATCTCTGATTATCAAAGTTTACAGTATAGAGAAGAACAGAGATACCCACATAAACTTCAAGATCACAAAATGAACTCTCAGTGAAAACTGTTGAATTGCTGAGTTTTAGAATAGGAGGTGATTATAATCAAAGTAAGACTAATAGGTATTCTGGCACTTTCAGCATAATGTAAAGGAGGTATCAGATGAAGAGAGCAAAAACCACTATAGTTGAAGGGAAAGAGGCAGGAATGCAAGATCACGCTGGGTGGAAGTCCCCGGTATCCTCCCACACCAGGAAGCGAGGGGAAAGCACTGGTCCGTTGGAAAGAGCACAGAGTAGATTCCAGCAACTTATGTTTGTTCTGTAGACTTAGTGTTAGTGTCACTCCTCCCCCACTTACAACCTCGGATGCTTCAACTCAAAAATCAGTGTGTTAAATGTAGATAGTAGTATCTACCTCTTAGCTACTCCAAAGGAATATAGGAAGGGAAATATGAGATATTCTGAGCTAATAGAAGAACATAGTGCCAAGCGGAATTGCAGTTTCAACGGTTTATAAAGTTCCATTACATACGGGAACATTTACCTAGGATTTGTGATTCACAGTATGCAGCAGTGGAAATAAAATTTTTCATATCTGTGTATGACTTCAGATATTAGTTCAAAGATATAGCCTGGAAGAAATCAGAGAGGGAGACAAACCGTGAGACCCTGGACTCCGGGGAACAAACTGAAAGTTACAGAGGGGAGGAGGGTGAGGGGATGGGTAGCCAGGTGACGGGTATTAAGGAGGGCACGTGTTGTGATGAGCACTGGGTGTTACACGCAACTAGTGAATTGTTGAACAGTACATCAAAAAATAACGATGTACTATATGTCGGCTAACTGAACATAATAAAAAGAAAAGATACAGCCTGTTTATAATGGTGAAAGGTTGAAAACAATGTGTATACTCAGTATATGGTAAGTTAGATAAATAAGACATAAATGCAATACTATGAAGACATTAAAAATGATAACATAGATCCTTACCTATTAATTTGGAAAAATGCCTGTATTTCTAAGAAAAGAAGGCTGGATTCAAAAGAACCTGTGTAGTATGAATCCTTTAAAAAAGGTTGTGTGTGTGTGTGTGTGTGTACACATATATAATGTGTGTGTATGTATAAAAACACTTGCATGCACTTACTTGTATATTACATGTATATGTATACATTCTTATAAGGCAAAATGTTAATGATAGTTATCTCTAGATAGTGAGATTATGATTACCTTACCTTTTTGGGTGATAGTTCTTTGTGGCCTCATTTTATAAAATTTGTATCTAATCAGACAAAAGCAAAGTGTTAAAATACTCCAAAAGGGACTACTTGCTCTTCTCTACCAATTACAAAAACACCTTGACTTTATTCTTTTCAATCATAATAATTTAGAGACAATTATCTTTTTTTCTAAAGACAAAATAATTACTTGCTAAATTGTTTATAAAGAAGACAAGGATGAGTAACAAATGTTTCACATTACTTTTAATTAAAAAAAGTGCACAATGCACAGATATGTGACAGAAATATGCGATAGAAATTTTTTAAAATGTTTGCTAATGCTTCCCTTGGATTTTTAACTATTTTGTAAATTGAAAATATTATCAAAATGTCATCTCCTCTTCTTGGAAAGGAAATTAATGTCTAGTGTTTAATTTTGGTAAGTGAAGGGTAGCAGCCTTAGCTGAAGCTCTCTTATTAAGATTTAATTTCACCAAATACAACAAAGTGCTTCTGTTTGTAAAGAAGACCAAGACAGGGACACTTACACCAAAGTGTTGAATAAAGATGCCATAGTAATTTTTAGAGCTATCTATTTGATTGCTTCAGCTTCAAGGTAGTTCATCACTTCACTATAATTCATCCTACATTGCCTCTTACCCCCATACTACATTTTCCCATCAGTCCGATTAGAATAGTGATGCCTTTACCAGATTAATCTTTCTTTCCTTAGCATGTCTGCCTTTTGGATACACAGAGCCTACACTACCCATTTTGATTAATACACTAAGATTTCCGCCACTGAAATTGCTGAGAGTGAATTAGATTTTAAACACACACGTATTTTAAAATCTATTCTCTGACTAGAATATGACTCCTTTTAATTTCTTTAGTTTTCCTTTGTAACTGGTCGTTTTTGTAACCTTTGATAGTTTCCTAAAGGCAGCTTGGTTGAAATCACATTTACCATATTGTGTCAAGGGTATGAATTGCCTTGCTGCCTTTTTAGCTACATTCATCTTTCCAGGCAGAAGAGTCTCTTTAAGGATTTGAGTGAAGAAAACTTAGCAAAATGAGGTGAAAGCATTGGTTAATCTGACATCAATGTGAGTTTTCTTGCATTATGTGCTCCTTAAGTTTTTCGCATTCTTCTTTGTGATGGGTCTTGGTCCAGGCTGTCTTTCTGCTAAAATGTGATTCAATTTTGAGACCAGATGAGTTAAGTTTTAATTAAATTATGCATGAAAACCAGTTGTACTCCCCCGCCTTTTCATAGGAATTTGGCTTATAAATGACTCAAATAGCTGAGAAAAAAATTAAAATGAAAAATAAGTTTAGTTAGGACCTGAATTAGGGAACAGGTGAAATTCTATTGTCTTTCTCCAGAAGAAATAAGGTCTTAGCAACTGTGTAAGGAAGAAGAAGTTGTGTGAGGACAAAGTAATAATCAAACATATAAGCTATATATATGCCTGTTGGGGGTTAATTTTTTAATTCAACAAGAGAAATGATTAAACCTTATCACTCAGTTTGACACTATGTGAATTTATAACCCTTTCCAATGTAGTCATAATAAATTAGCAAAAAACAAAATGAAATAAAACCCAAGATTTCTTTAGTATCTTATTCTTGACTCTGTGGTCCTTTGAATAAAGATGATGTAAGAACCCACTTGCCTTTAGGAAGACATTCTGCTGTGTTTCTCCATGACTGAGGCAGGTGGGCTGAGCATTCCATGTGTCTAATGGCACACACGATCAGCTTTGGTTACCAACATCTGCAGCAGTGTAAACAGAGATTAGAGAATAAGATAATTCCAGCAGACATGAGTCAAATCACAGTGTAGCCTCCCAGACTTTTAACTGAGCTAACTGTAAGTGAGGATGATTTAAATAGAGAATTTGAGAACTCATGTTCCTGGGTTCTTTTTCTTCTTTCATTGTACTCTTTTGTTTTTAGAAAATAAAAGAAGACAAAATGTAAAAATGAGGTTAAGGCATGAAGTGAGTGTGGAATAGAAGATCCCCACTGCCTGGAATCCTGGATTCTACTTCTATGGCTGCTGAGTAACCTTGACACAAGTCTCTTAACCTCTGAAGTGTTTCTGTCTCTCTCTGTCTCTCTGTCTCTGTCTCTCTCTTTCCCTTGCCCCTTGCCCCCTCTTTCTCTCTCATTTGTCCAAAGGAGAAATTGGAAACATCTTTGGTTCATTCAAATATCCTACAGTTCTAAAAGTAAAATAAAAACGTATCCTACAGAAAATACACTTAAACCACACTTCTTAAAGTGATTCAATAAACTATAATACTTTACATCCAACTGCTCATAAATTAATTACAGTGTGGACCTATGTACACATAGTATATGGATAGTGGGTCTTTTCCCTCTGAGAATGTCTGTCACAACCACAGCCCCTGGTGATCAAAAGTGCCATAAATGGCTCCACTGAAGTGGCCGTATTCTGACCCCATCGCCCTGGTCACAACTGATGAGACCAGTTTGGGTACCCAAGTTAAGGGCAACCAGCATGTCAGTGTGAATGATGAACATACAGACAAGACCTTATTCTTATCTTATTTTAAGACAATTCTTATCTTAGGGAAGTCCTGAATCTTTCTTACTGATTGTATGGTTTGGAACTTTCTTACTGATTACAGTGGTTTGGAATATGAATGGTATGAAGTGGTTTGGTGTGAGAGCTCTAGCCTAAGGAAAAATAGGGACCCATCAGACCAATTAGAACCCCCTCAGGACGTTGAACTTGCAACATACAGACAAGACCAATGGGTGTGGGACCAGAAACATAGGCTCCCTCAAATAGAGAAGACATTTGCGGGTCTCTGTTGCAAAGAGAGTGAAAAGGTAATCTAGTACTAGGGTTGTACTGAGTACATTGTATTCACTTACTAAGTGGCTTCTGAATGAAAAACAAGTATCTGACTGTTTAAATTGTGAAATTTTAGAGTACACCTTCTCACCCTTTGACTCTTTCATAGCATTTAGCAGTCTATTAGGTATTTTGTAGGTGCTGGATGAATATTTATTGATTCTGGGTTCAGCACAAACTTGGGAGACAATTGGCTGGTATTAGAAAGAGTCTGAACATTGCCCACTTCAAAGCTACATGGCAAGTCTTATGATTCAGTCCATAACCTTGCCCTTGTCTGTATGATAGTCTAAGCTGGAATTTTAAACTGTTTAATGTAATGAGGCATTATGCAAGGAATTATTATTTGTGAAATTTTATAGGAAACAGATTCACTTTGAAAACAGTTAACATTAATTTAGAGCCAAATTTGGTGGGGCACCTGGGTAAGACTCTGCCTTTGGCTCAGGTCATGATCCCAGGGTCCTGTGATGGAGCCCCAGTGGGCTCCCTGCTCAGTGGGGAGTCTGCTTCTCCCTCTCCCTCTGCCCCTCTCCACCTCAATTATAACTGAGGAAAGCAATCTGTTTCATCTGGAAAACTACTTAGTTACATCAACTTATATAAAATCTCCTTCTACATTCCCAATACGAGCCACTCAAGAAAGTTAAACATAATGTCTGACCAAAACTAAGTGATAATTTGATTACCCATCTTTTTTACCAAACTCAATTCTGAATGAATATTGATCCCCATTAAAAACATGAAGAACACTGTGGATGTTTAAAGGAATATGCCTTGAGGACATTCAGAGTTGGATCTCCAGTTCTTCTGAAATCAAAATACTCATCAACTTTCTTACAGTTAATCAGGTGATGTCTTTCTCCCCCCCACCCACCTATCTCTAATTTCTTTGAGGGCAAATAACTGTCTTTCATGATAAATGCCCTCTATCCAACATCTAGCAGAGCACCTGGCACAGAGTAAAATATCTGTTGTATAAATGTTGTTAAGGAAGTTCCAAAAATCTTTCAAGGAATAGAAGCTGTAAAATAGCAGATAGTTTCCTAAAATAATGCCTATGATGACACCATTGCTCATTTGAATGCATGCTTTGTGGAATGTTATTTCTGACCAGTCTCATTTATAGTTATGTTGTATATGATTTTGATACACATTTGGATATACACGAAGTTGGTTGATCCTGAGGTCAAGTTATGATTGATGCTTGGGTAAAGTGTTCCTTCTGGGAAATAATCTTTCATATCTGTAAATTAGTAATTGTCCTTAATTATCCTTATTTATACAATATAGTATTATGGTTGTAAAGTCAAGTTTGCATTCTTTTCTTTTTTTAGTTTTTTTTTTTTTTAAAGATTTTATTTATTTATTTGAGAGAGAGAGAGAAAGAGAGAGCACAAGCAGGGGGAGAGGGAGAGGGAGCTGGGAGCCTGACATGGGGCTCGATCCCAGGACCTGGAGATCATGACCTGACCCGAAGATAGACACTTACCCATCTGAGCCACCCAGGTGCCCCAAGATTGCATTCTTATCTTAGGGAAGTCCTGCATCTTTCTTACTGATTGTATCCCCTTTTTATTCTGGCCGCCCACATTTATGACCTACCTCTCACATCCACACAGTGTCCATTTATGTGCTAATTTTACCTTCAGTCACATTTTTTTCCTCCAGTTCTTTTAACTTTGCCCTAATGTTCTCTTCCATTTTACTTTTTTCCCCTTATAAAATGGCTCAAACAAAGTGGGATATTAATAAAATCACAAAATTATATGTGGAAGTTGTCTAAGATCATAGTGATGACTAAAAGCAGCAGAATTGCTGAACTAGTAGAACTCACTTGATCCAAGTTCCAGATTATAAAAACCATTACATAGGGCTGCCTGTCTGGCTCAGTCGTAAGAGCATGTGACTCTTGACCTCCAGGTGGTGAGTTTAAGCCCCATGTTGGGTGTAGAGAATATATAAATAATATTTTTTAAAAATTACATTACTCATCAGAATAAAATTTTGTTGAAAAATGAGTGAGTGAGTGAGTGAGTGAGTGAACATAGTTTGGGTTGGTCTGTGTTCCATGAATTAAATTCTAGTTAGCATCTGTCTTTAAGCTTATCTAAAACCACAACTCATCCCATCTTTTGTGTTACATCTTTAATGATAAACTTCCTAACTCTTCTACAGTAAGTGAACTCTTCTTTCATGTACCACTGCCAATGAAAGATTCTAAATGAGAGAAATGGCATTAATTTGGACTGAAAATGTAACTGATTATTTGTTGTATCCTACAAAAGGCACACAATGCCAAAACACATATCTGTCCTCCCATTTTATAATTCAAAACATTTTCCTCTGAGAATAGAATGAAATCCCAGCTTGGTCTGGGGCTTATGCTTGGCTTACTCCTTTTGGAACTCAGTGTCCCCAGCAGGCTTCCTCACAGGGCGTAGTAGGGTATTGCTAAGTACTCTTCCATGTCCAAACACTTCAACTCATTGAGGAGGAAATCACCTTGCTTCTGGTACTAGCAGATACAGCCACTTATCAGTCCATTGAGTTTATAGTTCTCAGACTCGTATTTATGATTGTGAAATGCAGCTCATTAGCACACTGTGGCATTAAGCAGTCCTTGCTACAGGTGTCTGTACATTAAGGAATCCTGATATTAAGAAATGATGAAACTATGATACTGGTTGGAATAAATCACTGAAGCAAATAGAAGGGAAACATACAATGTGTGTTTAATGTTAACTTGAGAAGTTAATTTGCTGCCTTACAGGGAGATTGTAAGACCCTACAATCTGTAAGTGAAGCCCAAGATCCTATAGTGAAATCTAATAATGATTATTTGGTAGGCTTGCTTTGTTCCGTAGTTAACTTATTTTTCAGCTCGAAAGTAGTCTGTGCTACTTAATATATTTTAAGGCGTTTATATTTAATTCCAAACTACAACTACCTAACAGAAATTAATTTTCACACCTCTCAATGTGAAAATAATCCAATTGAATGAAAGATAAGTAAAAATATAGTTCTTAAAAAATGTAGTCCTTCACTCATACTTACTATTTAAACTAATAACATCACTGACTGGGAGAAGAGAACACATACAAGATCATTTTGTGATTTTTAGAGCCTAAATAGTTTACTCATTCTTTTGAAACCTGGATTCTCTGCTCAACAAGGATTCAATATGGAACCTTTTATTTTTGAGTGTTACTTTATTACAAGTCATGTGAGTACAGAAATTTTTTGGTATACAGAAAATGAAATTGCTACCCTCAGCGAGTTACATTCAGTTGACATGACGAATCTGAGAAGTAACTAAAAATGAAGAATGGTTATTTAGTATAAGATACACTTTTTAATTTACTACGTGCCTAAAATGTGAGAAAATTTGATTAAAGTGGGATGGGAATAATTAAGAACAATTTCTTGGAGGATTACAAGAGTTAAGACATATAGTAGTAAGGACTTTGGGTGATTATGATGTGTCAATGTAGGTTCATCAATTTTAACAAATGTGCCACACTCGTGGGGGATGCTGGTAATGGGGGAGGGGGTGCCTGTGTAATGGCAAGGGGTGTAGGGGAAATTTATGTACCTTCCTCTCAATTTTGCTGTGAACCCAAAACTACTCTTTAAAACAAGGGCTTTTATCTTTTAAAAAATGGCAATACCAAAATGTCAAGTAACTGTAACTCTCATCCAGTAAATTGGTAGGAATATAAGTTTATAGGATATCTTTATTAAACTGTTTGTATATAGCCATTAGAATCTTACATGTGCATATTCTGTGACCTAGCCCTTCCTCTCCCAGATATATATCTAAAAGAAATGTGTACATATGTTCACCAACAAAAATGTACAAAATATTCATAGCCCTCTTTTTCATAGCCCTAAAGCAGAAACAACCCAAATTCCCATCTGCTGATGAGTGGATAAACAAAATGTGGTACATCCATACAATGGAATATTATTGGCAATGAAATGGAATAATGTACTGATATATACCACAACATGGATAAACCTCAGAAACATTATGCTTAGGTGAAATAAGCCAGTCACAAAAGCCCACATATTGTGTGGTTCTAGTTATATGAAAGGTCCAGAATGGGCAAACATATAGAGACAGAAAGTAGATTAGTGGTTGTCTTGTGGGGATAGAGAGCAACTGCTAATGTTTGTGAGATTCTTTTTGGAGTGATGAAATGTTCTAAAGTTAGACTATGGTAATGGTCGAACAGCTCTGTAAATATACCTAAACCATCAAATTGTACATTTTAAATGGTTGAATTTTATGATATGTTAATTATAGCCCAATGAAACTGTTTTAAAAAATACATTGAGATACTTGTACATACTCATTATAATAGGTAAAATTTTAAAAGAATGGCAACAAGATATGGTACTCCTGTAACTCACATCCAGTAAGTTGGTAGAAATATAAATTGTTACAATATGTTGGAAAAACTTTTTGGCTATAGACACAAAAACTTAACATGTATATATCCTGTGACCCAGTTATTCCTCTCCTGTGTATATGTCTAAGAGATGTGTGTATATGCTCATTAAAAGAAAGATACAAGAATGTTAATGGAAGCACCATCTATAACGCCACCAAAAATTGGCAACAACCCAAATTGCCACCAATAGTAGAAATGATAATAAATTGTGGTATAATCAATTTGTGTTATATAGAATACAACAACGAAAATTAACTCCTCCTCCTCCTCTCAATAACATAGAAGAGCCTCATAAATATTAATGTTGAGTAAAAGCCATCAGACGCACAACAGACATTCAGATATATTAATGCATTCATTTAAAGTGGAAAAAATAGATATAATCTCTGGTGGGGATGAGGCCATAGTGACGGAAGGGAACTCAAGGGGCCTTTTGTGAGTGTAGGTGCTGGGAATGTTCTACTTCTTGTTTTAGGTTATAGATACACTTGTTTTATTTGTGAGCATTCAAAAGGCTGTATTTTTTATGGGTTGTGCACCTTCCTGTATGTATGTTTGACTTCATTTATAGTTCTGTAAGGGCATAAGGGGATGTAGGGCAAACAAAAACCAAAACCCTGGAGGGTACCCATTCTCTCTGAGGATGACAGCCACTCCTCAAGTCCAGCTGGTTTTACTTAAGAGAAGGCAATTACAAAAATGTTGTGAAAACCATGCAAAGCACAACCGGGGCTGGACTTTGCCCTTGGTTAGTAGGGCAACTGAAGTGGCTAATTCAGGTGGTTCTGTCACTTACTATGTGCATGGTCCTGGCAAGTGTTCTTAACCTCCCTAAGCCTCAATTTTCTCATCTATAAGAATTAGAATAATAATACTTTCCTCTCAGGGTTATTAAGAGGATTGACTGCATGTTAACAACACTGAAGACTGTGCCTCTAATTCAGCAGGCTCTCAACAAATGATCATTGTTATTTTTATTGCCAGAGTACCTTCGGGATACCTGAAAAGAAAAAGGGGTGACAGCTTGAAACAAAGACATACAGCCCCAGCCTTCCACACCTATATTTTCTTGTCATCCCTGTCTTCCTCCTCTCTCACTAACTGCCTTCCTATCTTAAATCTCCTCTTGCTATAGCCCCACTAAAGGCCATCGTAGCCACCGCCCCCTGTTTAGAATGAAAATGGGAGTGAGGCAGCTGGATGATCAATTTCTGTTTCCCCACACTGAGTCTCCAAACTCATGTTTTCCCATAGAAATACTATGATATGTGGTAATTTA